ATAATAATAATAAATAAATAAATAAATAAATAAATAAATAAATAGTTAGAAAAATAAATGAAGAAAAAAAAAAACAAAGTAAATGAGCAAAGCCAAAATCTTAGTCTTTGAAAAGATCAACAATATTGATAAGTTCCTAGCTAGCCCAATGAAGAAATAAAAGGGAAACAACATAAATCTCCAACATCAAGAATGAAAACAGATCCTACAAAGTTATGTCAACAAATTTGACAATTTAGAAGAGAAGTGAGCAAATTCCATGAAAGATACAAACTTGTAAAACTTAGTAAAGAAGAAATAGAGGGCCCTCTATTTTAAAAAATTGAATTAATGGCTTAAATTTACCCACTCATCAAGAAAATTCCAGGTCCAGACAGTTTTACTGGTAAATTCTACCAAGCATTTAAGGAAGAAATAATACCAATTCTACACAATATATTTTTGAAAATAGAAAAGAACAAAACACTTCCCAAAACTATTAAATAAGCTCTGCAATAATTTAATCCTTTGATAAGAATCAGAAATCAATGCCTTAGTAACTAACAATCCTTCACCATTGTGAGAAATGATGGATGGTTTAGCTGGTACACTCAGCCTAAATTTCTTACTAGAACTCAGAGATAGCAGAAACTTCTTGTTAAGTATGGAAAAAAGTCTATCCAACTTCTCTGCTTGGATGTGATACAAGGACTTTTATTCATTCTCTTGAGAGTCCCAAAGAGCAAAAACTTGTCCTGATGTTTTAGCAAGCCTGAGAGCAAAGCAAGGTATCCACAGGTGTGGGGAATGCAGCCATCAGGTATTGAGAGGTGACAATGTGCCAGCAGCACTCGCTGGCTCGTGGAGCCTCCTCGGCCTCAGAGTCCACTCTGGCCTCGCTTGAGGAGCCCTTCAGCCCACCGCTGCACTGTGAGAGCCCCTCTCTGGGCTGGCCGAGGCAAGAGCCGGCTCCCTCTGCTTGCAGGGAAGTGTGGAGGGGGAGGTGCGGGCAGGAACCGGGGCTGCTTGCGCTGCACTCGTGGGCCAGCGCGAGTTCCAGGTGGACATTGGCTTGGTGGGCCCTGCACTCAGCGGGGCCGGCTGGCGCCCCCAGCCCCAGGCAGTGAGGGGCTTAGCACCTGGGCCAGCAGCTGCAAAGGGTGCGCCGGGTCCCTCGGCACTGCCGGCCCGCACATGCCAGGCTCCCTCAAATTCTCGCTGGGCCTCAGCCACCTCCCGGCGGGGCGGGGCAGGGCTCAGGACCGGCAGCCCACCATGCCCGAGCCCCTCCCACAGAGGTCTCCCACAGGGCCTAAACCTCCCCTGGGGGCGCTGCCCCCTGCTCTGCAGCGCCTGGTCCCATAGACTGCCCGAGGGCTGAGTAGTGCAGGCGCAGCGTGGGATTGGCGGGCAGCTCCGCCTCCGCCAGGGGCGGGATCCACTAGGCGAAGTCAGCTGGGCTCCTGAGTCTGGTGGGGACTTGGAGAAATTTTATGTCTACCTAGAGGATTATAAATGCACCAATCAGCACTGAGTCTAGCTAGAAAATTGTAAATGCACCAATCGGCACTCTGTGTCTAGCTAAAGGTATGCAAACGCACCAATCAGTGCCCTGTGTCTCCTAATCTAGTGGCAATTTGGAGAACTTTTGTGTCTAGCTAAAAGATTGTAAATGCACCAATGAGCACACACCAATCAGCAACCTGTCAAAACGGACCAATCAGCTCTCTGTAAAATGGACCAATCAGCAGGATGTGGGTGGGGTCAGATAAGAGAATAAAAGCAGGCTGTCCAGCCAGCAGTGGCAAGCCCCTGGGGTCCCCTTCCAGGCTGTGGAAGCTGTGTTCTTTTGCTCTTTGCAATAAATCTTGCTGCTGCTCACTCTTTGTGTCGGCGCTGCCTTTATGAGCTGTGACAATCACCTTTATGAGCTGTGACAATCACCGCGAAGTTCTGCAGCTTCACTCCTGAAGCCAGCAAGACCACGAACCCACCAGGAGGAATGAACAACTCCATATGCGCTGCCTTTAAGGGCTGTAACACTCACCACAAAAGTCTGCAGCTTCACTCCTGAAGTCAGCGAGACCACGAACCCACCAGAAAGAAGAAACTCTGGACACATCTGAACATCTGAAGGAACAAACTCCTGACACACCATCTTTCAGAACTGTAACACTCACCGCAAGGGTCCACGGCTTCATTCTTCAAGTCAGCCAGACCAAGAACCCACCAATTATGGACACGGTATGAGGCTGAACCAGGAGAGAGAGACCTCTTCACGCAGCAACAAGGTACAGGATGTTCAGAATGCCAGAAAATTATTTCACATTATCATTTGGGATTCTAAGACCTATGATATGTGAACTAATTAATGAGCTGAGCACTGGGCCAGGTCACACTTGAAAAGCTCTGCCCCTAAGAGAGTCTGACATAAGGAAGGGAGGTCCTGAAGGCAGTGCTAGACAAAGGGTCATTATTGTTAAATTCATCACGGGAAAGTTGAGAGTAGCATCCAGGAAAACACTGCCAAGGACTGGAAACCAACAAACAGACAATCCTGTGTCAGAAATGTGGGGAGTACAGAAAAAGGAAAAACAAGGGGGGAACAAACTAAAGTTTCTGAGGTAAGTGATATAATCATACTTTTTGGAAAGAACTCTAGTGGTGGTGTGGAGGGAGATCTGGACAGGAAGACTGAGGTAGAAATCCATGTTGCAAGAGTCCAAACCAGAGAAGATAAATGACTAAAATAAAATATATTGTGGAGAAACTGGATTTACAAGACATGTCTGCGATAGATTAAAAGAATTTAATGCAGACTTTGCATGTGTATTGATTTTCCCAGGACCTGATCTTATCTAGGTGAATAGTCAAAATTAAATTTCTAAAATCATATTTAGAATTAGAACCTTAAAAAGTGAAGATTGCACTAAGATACCTAACAGTGTGAGAGTCAGAAAGAGCCAGCCATCTTTCAAAAAATCCTACTTATAAAATTTCTTTTTTCTTCCATTGCAGTCTATGAAGTCCTTCCACATGTTACCCAATTTAATTCCCAAGTGACACATAATTGTTTTAATGGGTGAGAAAACTGAAGCTCAAAAAGATGTGGTAATTTTTCCAAGGTCAAGCATCTCTAAATGGTAGATACAGGACTCAAAACCAAAGTCCAGGTCTCTTTCCGCTACATTGTATCAGAAAAGTCCATATAAGACTTAGTAGCTCTCACAGGAGAACTCTAGACGAGACGTGTGTATAGGTTATTATCAACCTGTGTGCCAGGAGCTGTGATAAACAGGTAAAACACAGACTGCTTTTAAGGAACTTTGAGCTTTTGTAAAGGAGTTGAACAAGTAAACCATTTCTGTTCTATAAACCCAGATATGCACTATTTATATTTTGCCCATTTTTTTGACTTTTAGAAAATTTTTATTTTTGTTAAAATATATGCCCATAACTTAAAAAGTCAAGTAATGCTAAAAGACTTGTCTTTTAAAATACTCGACTTTTCTTTGCTTAACAGCCTTCTCTCTCCAGAAGAATCGCTTTTAGCTTTTTTTTTTTTTTTTTTTTTTTTTTTGAGATAGAGTCTCGCTCTGTCGCCCAGGCTGGAATGCAGGGGCGCGATCTCGGCGCACTGCAAGCTCCGCCTCCTGGGTTCACGCCATTCTCCTGTCTCAGCCTCCAGAGTAGCTGGGACTATAGGCGCCCACCACCACGCCCGGCCCACTTTTAGCTTTTAATCTTTTTTCTTCTGATATTTACCTCCATATATCTAAATAATATGGATATACTGCTCTCTCTAGCCACTTTTAGACAGTGTTTATTATGGGAAGATGAAGAATGTTAAATCTCTACCACCACTTGCTATCTCTCCGCCCTTGCAATATAATTAAAGTGCAACAAAACATAGTGAAGTCTATGCTTACTGTTTTTAGTATACTGCCTTAATAACACTCATTCCCGAGTTAAGAATGTATTATTTTATTCCCTTCTTGAACAACTCACTTTTCTAAAGCTAATACCTCACTTTTTTTCACTTTTTAACTTTCTGGAATCTCCTGATAAATCTTCCCATATCTTGCCATAGTTCTATAAATTCCACTCAATTCAATTTTCTACATGCATCTATCAGATAATCTATTATTTAACATTTTTAACTTTCTGGGAGGTGAAAATTCTCCTTTCCTTGCTTCAGTATAATTGTTCTCTGCATGGCTGCCCAGGTGTCATCCTAGGTATTACCTTTGCCTTATTTCTATTTTGAATCTCCTATTTCCTGTACCATAAGTAGTCTTTTTTCTTTGCTAACTCCATGATTTTTACGGATCCCACCTTCCTACAGCTTTCTGGGAACAGGGAGTATAAGAGATCTGTTTTGGCCTAGCACGGTAGCTTACGCCTGTAATCCCAACACTTTGGGAGGGGATCACCTGAGGTCAGGAGTTTGAGACCAGCCTGACCAATATGACGAAACCCCATCACTACTAAAAATATAAAAATTAGTCGGGTGTGGTGGCAGGCGCCTATAATCCTAGCTACTCAGGAGGCTGAGGCAGGAGAATCACTTGAACCCAGGAGGCGGAGGTTACAGTAAGCCAAGATCGTTCCATTGCACTCCAGCCTGGGCAACAACAATGAAACTCCGTCTCAAAAAAAAAAAAAGAGATCTATTTTATAACATCCTGCTCTTTCTATTCTACTATAAAAATTGATTATTTAAATGTTTACCTAAATTTAATACTTTTAAAAGTATACATATTATCTTTACTTACATCTTGATTCCGATTTAGAAGACCTCAAAGACTTCTTCCCATCACTCTTTGATGTAACTGATTTCTCCTCATCAGTATCCTGATCATCTGGTTCCTTCATTTCCTCTGTAAGTACAAAATTGGGATGAGATATGGATAATGCTGTAAAATAGAAACTAACAGATTTCCCCCTAACAAGTTTCATAAGCACCAAACACCATGTGTGTCAATAATCCTTTGTTTGCACAGGATCCAGGATGACCCACCAGCAGGAGTGTGCAACTACCATCAGAGACCTCTGACCTCTGCAAGACGCTAATTCAAATCACAGATTCTCTTTCTCTGGGTGAACTGTCATTGTGGTGCACTTTGGTTTTCCAGAGGTCCACAGTGAAACATACTACCAAAGTTCATCTTTTCCCCAAATGCTTCACCACTAAAATTAACCTGCCATCCTACTTTTGGTCCATCCCTCCCTCTTTCTCTATTTTCAAATTCTCTTGGAGTTACTAATCAACTTCAGTTTTTAAAATATTTTTCGAGCATACCTGCAGCGTATCAAGTCTTATGTTGGGTGCTAAATTACAAAACTGGAGAAGAGAAATATGGGCCCTAACTTTCTGGAGCTCGTTTAGAAAGATAGATATTAAACAAGCAATTAAAATAATGAGTGCTACTAAAAGGAAAATAGAATGTACTGTGGGCATGTATAGCAAGAATCCTAAAACATGATGGGGGGTTAGAGAAGAGGTGTTTGAGACATGGATGACGGTCAGGAGTTGGCCAGGCATAGAATGTGAAAGATATGTTAGGCACATCAAAGAGGGCTGCATCTTTAAAGGGCTGCAAGCAGTCTATTGGCTAGAGTGGGAGAGTAAAATGGATACTGAAGAGGAGGTGGGTACCATATCATAAAGTTGTCTCTAAGCTTTGCTAAGAAGTTTATACCTTATTTCCTTGACAACTGAAAACCATTAAAGGGTTTTAAAAAGGGGAGTGACACAACAGGTTTTCTCTGCCCTCTGTCTATATTGCAGCTTTTCATATATTTGAAAACACCTTCCTTATAAGTCTTCACTTCTCTATACTAAACACTCCATGTTTCCTCAACATTCTTCTATGATATGCCTGGCAAGCAGAATGGAACACCAGTTCTATTTGGATCAGATTTATAGTTAGATTAGGGTCTGAATCCCAGTGCTGACATATAACTAGCTAACTAAACTTTACATGAATTCTCCAACTGTAATGGGAATGAAGACAAAACTTTTTACAAGCCTGCTATGAGGGTTATTTAAACTGCCACACTGTTATATCTTCCTGGTCTCTGAAGATAGACTGGCATGCCTAAAGCAGATGTGGTACACTACATGATCAAAGGACAAAGGAGAGTGTAGTATGATGACTGTCTCCCTTCAGATGGGCACTAGGGTTCATTCTATGTTTTCCTGCAGTGATATCATAATGATGCCTTCTTTTGATATGGGGGACAACAGTACATTGTCTAAACATTTCTATTATAAACTATCATCAAGAAAGATACAGACCGGGCTCAGTGGCTCATGCCTGTAATCCTGGGAGTTTGACAGGCTGAGGCAGGAGGACTGCTTGAAACCAGGAGTTTGAGACCAACATGAGAAACATAGCAAGACCCTGTCTGTATTAATTTGTTCTCACACTGCTAATAAAGGCATACCTGAGAACAGGTAATTTATAAAGGAAAGAGGTGTAATTGACTCACAGTTCAGCATGGCTAAGGAGGCCTCAGGACACTTACAATTACAGCAGAAGGGGAAGCAAACACCTCTTTTCTTCACATGGCAGCAGCAAGGAGAAGTACAGAGCAAAGGGGAAGAAAACCCCTTATAAAACCATCAGATTTTGTGAGAACTCCCTATCACAGGAACAGGATGAGGTAACTGCCCCCATGATTCAGTTATCTCCCACCGGGTCCCTCCCATGACACATGGGGATTATGGGAACTGTAATTATGATGGGATTTGGGTGGGGACACAGCCAAACTGTCTCTAAAAAAATAAAATAAAATGGCCAGGCATAGTGAGGTATGCCTGCAGTCCCAGCTACTCAGGAGGCTGAGGCAGGAGGATCACTTGAGCCCAGGAGTTTGAGGCTGCAGTGAGCTAGGATCGCACCACTATTCTCCAGCCTGAGTGACAGAGCACGACTCTGCTTCTAAAATAAAAAAATAAAAAATAAAAAAAAGATATGGTCTAACATGATACTCATGTTATTAAATTTTGTATTTTGTACTTTGGAGGCATTCTTCTGGGTTACAAAAATAATGTTTTACTTTTTAAAAACTGTATGTACGTGTGTGTGTGCATTTTCCTTTCCTTTCTTTTTTAGTTGTGAATCTTCCTTCCTCTCTCTCTCCATCCTTTCTTCCTTTTCTCCTTCCCTTCCTTCCTCTTTCCTTCCACCTAACTGTAGAATATATACCTTTTGGGGTTTATGGAGGGGGTGGGGTTAGGAATCAAACCATAAAATCCTTTAAGTAGCAAAATCTTTTAAAATTCACATTCTGTCATTCAGTACATTTTCTATTCCTTCCAGTTTTGGACACACAGGCTTACTTTCTACATTACTCTATAGTGAGTAACTGGTTTTTTTAAAAAAAAAAAAGAATTATGCAGCCAATTCAATTATTACAGAGCTTGGTTATAAATGACCATATACTGTGGGTAAAATTGTTTAGATAGATACACACACACCTAAATTCTATTTCCTCCCTCACTTTCATAATTTAAGTCAATTTAATTCTTAAAACTATTGAGCATATTATTATGCTAGGCATTGCAGAGGATACAAAGGTGAGCAATATACAGTCCCTGACCTCAATGTATAATTCAAGATGAAGAAATTAACAATTCTCTTTCAAAATAGTTTCAGAATAAACTTATCTTCTAAATCACTGATTCAGATCCATCAGAGGTTGACCAAAACAAGGATGGTTTGATAGTCGTGACTGAAGTGACTGATCACTAATGATTTATTTGATAAAAATCAACATTTAAAGTATTGATAAGAAACTAAAGTACTCCCTAAGTTCCCATGACACAGGTCTCAAATAAGTGAAGGCAAGGCAGTTCCCTGGGTTTTCCAACAAAATTGAACTGATATTCTACTGCTGCTAATCAATTGATAACTAAATGAAAATTTTTGGTCTGTGAGTTTCAATAGCACTTTATTCTGTAAGTAGGTACTGTTTTAGTTTTCCCTTGCTGCCATATAAATTATCAGACATTTAGCAGCTTAAATAACATCCACTTATTATTTCACCGCTTTGTGGGTCAAAAGTCCAGGCCAAGTGTGACTCACTTAGCTCTCTGCTTAGAGTTTCAAGAGGTTGTTAAGGTGTTGGCTGCCTTCGCTTTCAGAGGCTCTGAGGAAGAATCTACTTCCGGGCTCATTCAAGCTGCTGGCAGAATTCAGCCCCATGTGGCTGTGGAACAGTGATCCCTGCTTTCTTGCTGGCTGTTGCCCAAGAGTCCTTCTAAGTTCCAGAGGCCACTCGCATTCCTTGACTTATAGTACCCTTTAAAGCCAGGAATAATGGGTCGAGTTCCTCCTAGTGATTTGAATCTCATGATTTTCTTTCCTGCTATCATAAGCCTCATGACTTAGTGAGATAACTTTCTACTTTTCAGTCTTCTTTTTTCTGAATACATTTATTTTTAACACTATAACAATGTTAACTGGATATAGATTCTAATAAAAAGAGCCCATAATTTATTCATAACATAATCATAAGGTGGGTAAAAAACAATTATGGTAACTAAAGCACTCTGAAAACAAAAGAGTTGGACTACAACAAACGGTAAGTTGGTGTCAAGACAAAAGCACCACACTTTATTCTGTGCTATCTTAAACAATATATTCCTCAAATGGCTAATATTACCATGTAATAAACTTTCACATCACAAACCCAGTTAATGTCAGGTTGTGTACAATGTGGAAGAAAATACTGGAACCCAAGGAATTTGCCCAGTGTTCTGATGTAGCAATACCGGACAATGAATACTAGGATCTATTCCTAGCTTTCCTGGGTCATAAAAGGTAATTGAAGAACCTGTAAAAAGCAGTGGAGCGGGTCAGGTGGGAGAGACTCCTGTTCTCCTGGAGATTATCAGTATAACTGGTAGGGTAGAATAAGGTACTTTTGTTTCGGGGAGGTTTTTTGTTTTGGTTTAATAACAAAGGGATTGGGAAGCTACATTGTAACCTGTGGAGGCTTTGGAGCCAGAGAGACTTGGGTTCACATCCCTGCTTGCCCAAGAAACAAGTTCCTTAACCTCTTGATTCTTTAATATGTAAAATGGGGGTGATAGGGTTATTTGGTAGAGTTAAACGAGATTTTTCATATACAGAGTTCTCAACTTTGACTGCACTTTAGAATCACTTGGAAAGCTTAAAAATGTACTATTAACAGGGTCTCACTCTCCAGATAATTCTTTCACACAATCAGGCATAAGAACTGGTTAGGAATCATGAGTTTATATAAAACACCTACTACGCACTCAGAAATGGCAGTTGTTTTTACTATACTCCTAGATAATCTCTTTGACACAGGTAGGGTTCAATAAATAAAATCATGGAATCTTCAGAGTTGAAAGAGGACTTTAGTTTAACTTGCTACCCCATGCAGGTCACACATCCTCAACATCCACCCCAGCACTGTCAGAAAACCAGTGTTGACCAGGGCTGAGAATACTGGCTACAGAGTCAGTCTGACTAGGTTTAAATCTTGGCTCATCCTCTTCCTGGCTGTGAGGTGCTAACCCAGTATTTAATTGCTGTGTGCTTCAGTATTTCCATCTTTAAAATGCAGCACCTACTGGATAAGATTGTTCTGAGTCAACACAGGAAAGCTCTAACAATGATACATGGCAGTCAATATGTAAAATGGTTGCAGGAATGAATTTATTAATATATTTCTGAATAAATGAAAGAACAAGATAGTCAGCTTCAATTTAAATATTTCGGGTAAGAGGGTGAGAACATTCTGTTAATGCTCAGCTCTAGTTCTTGGCACATTTTATATTAAGCTGAAATCTGCCTCCCTGCAACTTGGATCCATTTGACCCTTGTTTTTTCCTCTGAGAACACACAGAACAAGTTTTTCTGTGTACTTCAACCATTCAAATAATTGTAGTTGGCTCTCATTTCTCTCCAGATCTTCTCTTTTCCCAGAGAAAGTATCCCAATTATTTCAATTATTCCTCAATGACATGTTCCAACTTTACTACCCTGATAGCTCAAGAAGTTAATTCCCAATGCATCATATGTCCCTCCTAATTTTATATGTTCTTCATAGGATCTGGACACTCTCCACAAGAGAGGAACTACCAATTCACCTACTGGGGACATTCATTGTATTCCTTTAAGGCAGTCTAAGTTTGGGTTCTAGACCATGTTCTACCTTCTATCAGTAAACTAGCTAGGTTTGTGAGTCTATTTTCAGGACTGGCATAAATTCCCTTTCATTAGATCCAGGCTTATTGGTCCAGCCTACGGCCAATTCTTTTAACTAACTCTTTAGATAGACTGTACAGTTTTGAGTTGTGAAAGTTGTCAGAATTAGAATGGAGTCACCAGTGTTAAGAAAGAACCCTGACAAATAGAACTGGGGAAGGCTATGAAGAATGGGTTCTCACACTTTTATGCTGGATAACTATCCCAAAAGACTGCAAAGACCACAGCCTTGCACAAAGCCATCACAACCTTACACATAAAAAAAAAAATACTTCTACAAGGACATCTGTTCAACAATTACCTGTCCAACCTCAGACTAGCATCACGCTTATTGTTGACCTTTGTAGCCAGTGATAACTATCTCAAAATAATTATGTAATCTTTTTCATTTTTCCTTTAAAAACCTTTGTTTTCCTTTACGTCCCTGAATACACATATAGTTTACCATGGCACACATATCCCATTGCAATACCTTACTCCTGAATAAACATTATCATCTTTTAGAAAGCCTCTCTCTGTATGTTATTTAGGTTGACAGGGTCAACCCTAAGGAAGTATAAAGAAAAAGGGAAAATAATAGTACACATTGATGCAGAGGAGTGTGTTGCTAGAAGGTTGGCTGGACGCCAGACAGAGTGCTCTCTAAGGTGACATTACTCTGATTCATTCACCAGAGTCCAGGTTCTGGTCCTCACGCTCACAAGCTCACTCAATCCCAGCAGTGTGCCAGAGGTGGTTATTTAAAGTTCACAGTGACTGATGTATAAAACAGGCTCTCAGTTTTTACTTTGCAATGTGAAATACAGCTGTGGAGAAAAAAAGTAATAGTTTGTCTTTTTTACTGTTTACTATGTGTCAAGCACAGTTCTAAGAAATTCTACACATATTATTGTATAATTCTCAAAACGACCCTATGAGGTAGGTACCATTATTATTTTATTTATTTATTTATTTATTGACATGGAGTCTCACTCTGTCACCCAGGCTGGAGTGTAGTGGAGTGATCTCAGCTGACTGCAACCTCCACCTCCCGGGTTCAAGCGATTCTCATGCCTCAGCCTCCCGAGTAGCTAGGATTACAGGCGCACACCACATCGCCCGGCTAATTTTTGTATTTTTAGTAGACGGGTTTCCTTATGTTGGCCAGACTGGTCTCAAACTCGTGACCTCAGGTGATCTACCCACCTCCGCCTCCCAAAGTGCTGGGATTACAGACGTGAGCCACGGCGCACAGCCTATTATTATTATTTTTGAGACAAAGTCTTGCTATCCATTATTATTATTGTCATTATTTTACAGATGAGAAAGCAGCGCATTTACTCTGAATCCGTTCCTCTCACCCAATTCATGTAAATGATTTCCAAGTCCTGTTACTAACTGTCCAGTGATTAAGCCTTTTGAATTCCTCCCCTCCCTTCATTCCTACTGTCCCTGCTGTCCCTCTGTAGTTCCAGTTCTCATTGTGTCTCACCGCTATCATTACTGTACCGTCATGCTTCGTCTTCCATTCTATAATCCATTTTCTACACTATCGCTTGTATTTCTAAAACACAGCTTTTAATGTGCCACTCTTGCTTAAAACCTCTAATGGCTCATCGCTGCCATCAAATAAGAGCTCAGATTCGTCGGTCTGGCGTAAAGGTCCATTGTCAGAGGGTCTGTAGCTTATTGCAGCCCAGCTACAGTCACTCTCTCTCTCCCTAGCCTCCTTAGCCCCTTCTCCTCTCAAAGGTTTTCATCAGCACGCATCCTTAGCAACTCATGATTGATTGGACACACTGAGCAGCACACATGTATGCGACTGTCTTTACCTATTATACAACAAATATTTATGTGCACCTACTACGTGCCATGTATGTGCTAAGCACTTTACTTGTATTATCCTATTTAATAATAATAACAAGAACTCCATGAGGTCACATTATCACCTTTCTTTCTGGAGATGAGGAAGCCGGAGTGCAGAGGGCCCAGCGTGCCAAGCGTCGCACCCAGCTGAGCGCAGGGTGGGTGCCTCGCTGGAGCGGGGAGCCGCAGCACTTTCCCAGCAGACTCGCTGCTGCTCTGACTTCGGGTCTAAGCCGTGCTCCTGCTGCCTGGCTGGCTTCCGCCCGGTCAGACTGAAAGGGTCTCGCAGGTAGGAGCCTTGCACACAGTGTCTAGCTCCAAGCCTGAGAATACTCAAGGCTTCAAAAAGTTTGCTGAGCTACCGCAGGGACGACGAAAGCTGTGTTTCAGCACAGCCTGGGGAACACTGGTCCAGCCTGAGAGAAGCCCAAGTGGGGTTCGCTGCCCTCTGAGCCACAAACAGATTTAAGGAGGAGGGTATGGAAATTGCCAGCTGCTGAGGTCCAAACTCACCGAAGGTACGGACAGCCGCGGCTCCTCTCTTCACAGCTTCTGCCGGAGGCCTCCGTTTACTCCAGTTACCAAGGCAACGCCACCCCTCTTCCAGGGAGGCGGAACCAGGGCGGGCCGTGGGGCGCATGCGCGGCCGGCGTCCAGCTTTCCTGGACGTCGAGCAGCGGTGACGCTGGGAACCGGGTACCTGTCCGCCCTCTGGTCGGGCCTTTTCCGTTTCATGACACTGGTTCTAAGCCAAACAGAAAAGCCCGACGAGTTTATTATCCCCTAAAGGACGTCATGTAGATAATTAAATGACATGAATACCGTCGAAGATACCTGCCCGATATTCTAAAATGGGCCAACGGAGCCCCGATCGCGGCGTTCCTATGCTGAGGTTTTAACTTCGATTTTAAGAGGGGTCCTGGGAGATAGTAGGCAGCTTGCCGGCAACATCAACAACAAAGATACATGGTGGGATTTTTGTTATTTTTAAAGCTATATCATCTCTGTTGGCTTTTAAGAGTAAATAAGGTTTTATGTTGTGGGTTTCTTGGTCGCAGCGCTCTGGGCACAAAAGTATAGGCCTCCCTTGACAGATTTCTAGGTTTAGCAGTTTGTTCAACCTCTCTGTAGTACTGTGGTCATACGGCTTTGTAAAGTACCTAGCCTAACGTTATTACTTACCAAATACTGTTTTAAAACGGTCATTCCAGTATATGCCAAAGGAGTTTGTATACAGAATGTATAAAGAACTCTTATAATTCAATAAGAAAAACCCACCTAATTTCTTAAATGGGCAAAGGATTTGAATGCTTCACCAAATCAGATATATGTATGGCCAGTAAACACATGGAAAGATGCTTAACAGTAGTCATAAGGGAAATACAAACCACAATACACGTAACTCCACATCCACGTGAAGGGGTAAAACTTCGAAGATTGCCAACACCAAATGCAGGATACGGAGCAACTGGAACTCACATACACTGCTGTTGGGAATGTAAAATGGCATAACCACTTTGGAAAACTATTTGAGAGGTTTCTTCAAAAGTTAAACATACACAAAGTCATTCCACATCCAAGATAGTCTAGAGACTTGGGCAAAGTGGTTGCCTAGGACTTAGTGAGATGCATTGGAAAGAGACACAAGGAATCTTAGAAATGATAGAAATGCTGTGTCTTAATTGTGGTGGTAATTTCATGGGTATATACAACTGCCAAAAGCCAATAAACTGTTCTCTTTAAATAGATGTCGTTTATTGTATATAAATTATTTGTCAATAAAATTGGCAAGAAAAAATTGCTATAGTACAATTTGTGTTTATTAGTTTCCACAATGTTACACAAATACCATGCATTTATTTGCAATACTGACATGTCCTCTTTAATCAAGGTTTTCCAAGGCTTAAAAAAATAGATTATCCTTGCTATTACTTATTAAATGATATATCTAGGTGCCAGAAAAGATAGACAACATAGTGTAAACTTATTTTTAAATAGCATGTTAGTTATATTTTCAGATCATATGCCCAGCATGTTTTCTTTCAACCTCTAGATACCTTTTCAGGTGAAATACCTCTACATTTCAAGCATTGTGTGCAATTGTTAATCTGAGAAAGATACAATAAATTCACTATACAATGTTTTAAAAAATGGAAACATGGGGGGAATAGTGTATTTATTTATTTATACACAAAAAATATTGGGCAGTGATCATTACTGAGTGTTGTGAGCCAAGCTCTGAGCTCAGTCCATTTACATACACTTGCCTCACTTAATCCTTACAGCCTCTAGGGAAGACATTATGTCTGACTTTCAAATGGGAAAGATGAGATTAATCTGTCCAAAGTACACAGCTCAAGTGGCAGAAATGGCATTTGAGGCAAGATTTCTGGTTTCAGTACTTGCATCCTTAGCTACTGTACTGTATTAGTTCCCGTATATTAGGAGAAATCCAATAACTGCAAGAAAGAGCTTCAAGTCTTGGCTTTACCTCTTACAAGCACTCTGTCATTAGACAACTTTCTTCACCTCTAGGGCTCAGTTTCCTCATCTGTAAAGGTGCTGGGAGAGGAGGAAGCATTTACATCCCTCTAATTCATAGGGCTACTACGAGATTCAAATGAGATAATGGTGATATTGCAGCTTATAGTACAGTGTCTGCCATGGTAATGGCTCAATAATCAACAGCTATTCTTATTATTATGCTGCTTCCATACTACACACACTATAAAACAGGTTTACTCTCCATCAAGAGGCAGCACAACATAGGCTTTGGAGAAAGACTGCCTATGTTCCCATTCTAGTGCCACCACTCCCTAGTTATGTGACCTTGAGAAAATACCTCCTTGTACCTCAGTTTCCTCATCTGCAAAATGAGGATAATAGTACCTACCTCCTAAGATGTCATGAAGCACATAAAGTGGCCACAATAGTGCCTAGTAGGTAGTTAACAGTTATCAAATTCTGCTAACCAAAATCATTTTGTTTACAGCATAAGAATGATTATATCATAACTGTGGATGTTATCAATCCAGTATCTCTGCCAACCTGTAATTTGGAAAACTGTAAATTTCAGGTTGAGCAAGTTATTAGCAGCTTTCTGGGGCATACGGGAGAAGTCATATGTTATCCAAATATATGAGTCTAAACACAAGTAATCTCAGTTTGAATTGCTCACTCAGGTTGAGAATTCCTATCATAGAGACAAGGAGCAGAGATCATTCAAAAAACAAGTTTAAAATAGAAATCAACATCTCAGAACCAGATAGGTATCCTGGAAAAATCTATCCTAAGCCAGGTGCAGTGGCTCATACCTGTAATCCCAGCACTTTGGGAAACCAAGGCAGGTGGATCATTTGAGGTCAGGAGTTCAAGACCAGCCTGGCCAACATGGTGAAACCCCGTCTCTACTGAAAATACACAAATTAGCTGGGCGTGGTGGTGTGTACCTATAATCCTAGCTACTCAGGAGGCTGAGGCAAGAGGATTGCTTGAACCTGGGAGACTGAGGTTGCAGTGAACCAGATTACACAACTGCACCACTCCAGCCTAAGCAATAAAGCAAGACTCTGTCTCAAAAAAAAACAAAAAAGGAAAGGAAAGGGAAAAAAAAAAGAGAAATCTACCCTGCAAGATCTGCTTAAATTCAGGGCTAGGAAAATTGATTGCAACTTTTTCTATTTAATTGTTTGAAACATTAAATATACCAATAAATCAATGTTACCACATTTAGGTATTTGAGCTCTAGAATCATTTTTTATTTGATTTGCATTACCATTATTGATGACATTTTCACAGTTTAAAAACTACATAAGATTTTATAATAAATGCAACCACTCTTACCTGCTTAAGCAAATATAAACAAATACTCCCAGGCCTATTTTTTTAAGGCTGTATATTTCACTTGATGGAAAAAGTGACGAACAGCAATGACTTCCCAAGAAAAAAGAAAGAAAAGTGGGTGTTACATTTTCCTGAAAGCCAGACTCTAATCACACAGAGGAATTTTATTGTAAGTTACATGCAAAGCAAATTAGTTCTTCAGGAAAATAAAAAAAAAATGAATCAACTAAGATACACTAAACCTCAAAAAACCCTGAATAAAGATGATAAAGGTAAAAATGTATTTTAAAAGACCCTTAAAATATTTAAGAAAGTATTAAAATACAAAACTTTAACTTCTCTACAGTCAAAATTTCATTCACAGGGAGCTGTAGGTCAGTTGGTTGTTGAAAACTTATTTGAGAAAATCAAAAAATAATTGCTTTATTTCTCTGTTTCATTAGTACTAATTCACAAGATCTTTGTAGGTTTTATCTGAAAGAAGGATATAAAAACTTAAAAGTCAGAGCAGGGAAAGGGGAGTAATAAATTATTAAGAACAAACTCAGTGAGACTTGACTTCACTTATGATACATGGGTAGAAAGAGCAAACCAGCCTTCTTCATTCTGTTTCTCAATCTGTTGAACAAAGACACAGAGAAAATTTAGATGGTAATCAGAAACATGAGACTACTCAAGATTTACAGATCATTTAGACCAAGTGCATAAAACAAAGTCATCCTGTGCCATTGATACTGGAAATTAAATTGCTATTGGCAATGTTTGTTCTCTAATAGAGATACTATCAAATAACTGATTACTTGGTCAACAGATCCTCTTACTGATTTAGGAGTCATAATTTTTTTAAGTCCAGTGTTTTATAGATATCATAGGCATAAATTTTTAAAATGATAAAAAGGCAGTTATTTGTTCTTAGTAAATTAAATGTTACTAAATTCCAGGAACTAAGAATAATTTATATAAAATAGCTTACTTTAAAGCTTTTGTAGAATATAAGAAGTAGCAAAGAACAAATCTCCCAGAATTGGACAATTCGGGTATCTATCATTCCCCTATCATTTAATATCTTTCCCCATCATTTAATTTGGGCTATAAGCACCCACTCTTTGATCTAATTACTGAACTCAGTAATAAGAAATGCAAAGGTTTTCCCAATGTCAGATAGTTGTTGGCTCAAGTCTACAAAATTAATTCTTATAATTTTAAAGATATCCTCACAATTTACTATAACCACTCAAAGGAACTATATTTTACTGTACTAGCACCACAGAAAAAAAGGCTTCTGCAAAAATTTTGAATATACTGTGAAATATTTAGCTTCTATACATACCTATGGCACAACAAAATACATGAAGAGCACATTAAGACATTTATTTTTCCCTGGGACCATAACCTATCTAACCAATGGCACAGTCAGATATAGCACACAGGGATAAAGTGAGAGGAAAAGTGACTGGACCCACTGCTCTGGCTGTCCCAGACCCCACCCAGGGACAAAGGACTGGGGGAACCAAGAGCTCAGTAGATCTACAACCCATTCAAGGCACACCTGCGTGTCCTGCCATAATATTTGGGAAGCTCTACCTGAAACCAGTAATTTCCAGCCTTTAAGGACTGCTGAATATCCTACTGAATTTTACCTTATTCCTTAGTTACCCTAGAAAACAGAAGAAGTATATGGCTTGTTTTTCCTGATGAAGGTAAATTAGTATCTCTTTTCTGTTAA